ATGCTGCTTGGCCTGCTGTGTTCATCCAGCCCTGCACCTTGTTGTCTCGGATTCTCCAGCATCTGCAGTTCCTACTATCTCTATTTGAGTGAAATCTGGGTTGCATATGCGCATCTTAGAGGGAACATTGGTTGTCTGCAGCCTGAGCACCAGCCTAAAATGCACTCCATACATGTTATATTCCTTAAGTAAGACCAGAATATCTCCAAATGTTTTCAATGTCAGTGTTTTAATGTAAATTCATCAAGAAATAGTGGAAGAATCTCTTTGCTTTTACAGCTGTATGCCATATATTGTATGGAGAACGTCTCGGCTTACTGCAGGGTCTCCATAATCCTGCATCACAAAAGTTCATCGACTCAGTTACAATGATGTTCAAATCCACATCCCCAATGCTTTATATTCCGCCCGGGCTTCTGAAATCAATCAAATCGAAGATCTGGCAAGATCACGTTGCTGCTTGGGATACCATTTTTGCACATGGTGAGAAAATCAGGACAAATGTCAATTAATGTGGAAATTAGTGGTGGTCCCAAGTGGACTCAATCGTTGAATTTCTATTTCCCATTACAACTTACTTATTTAATCTGGCTATTTCCAATTATAATTTTATTTTATTCTATCTGCTACATACTGGTTGTTGACTACCTCTTCAGCAAGAACGGCAGGACATTGTACGCTACAATGTGCTTTTCTTTTCCCATGTGTTTGTCAATTCTGTGCTTCTTCACTTCCTCCTTTCAGCATTTTAACCATTAATTTTCTTTTTAATCTTTCCGTTGATCTCAAAGTAAGCTTGGCAATTGAGGGAAAGTCACCTTCCAATGACAGTTGATTGCAATACAAAACTTGAACTCTGAAGCCTGAAGTTAGGCATTGAAAAATCAATGCATGCTTTCACAATGTTTAGTTGTGTTGAATCTCCATAATTGTTTTGCAAATTGCTGGTCATTTTATGTAGGACACTGTTGCTGGAACTTGGTCATCCCATTGGTTGAGAAATCAACAACTTACCAATGGTTATATAATCTTAAATTGATGAGGGAGGGAATTTTGAGACTTGGCCGAACATACAGTTGCCAGTGGCAGGTAATGAAAATTGGAGATAATCAATGGATCAGAGATGAAGGAAAGTGAAGATCTCAGAGAGTTGTGGTGCTCCAGTAAGTTACAGAGGTAGGAACAGGTGAAGCAATGAAAGTAATAGAAGACAAGGGTGATGGATAAACAGGACTTGGTGCAAGTTTTGAAATGGCAGAAGCGTGTCGTTTGAATTTCAAATGGAGGCAATGGGGATCCAGAGGTCAATTGAAGACAGGGAGCAGTACTAAAGTGAGCAGCACTTGGCGCAGAACCTTGAAATTAGAACCAGGCGATTCAAGAGTGAAATCAAGCACTTAATCTCACAAAGTATGGTGGTTATTTGGAACTGTCTTCCAATAAGGACTGGACGCCATTTCAATTTGAGCTTTCAGAAGTGAGGTCAGTAAATCTTTGTCAAATAAAGGTAAATGAATTATTTGCAGGAATACAATTATAGATATTTTCTAAACAATCTTACCAGAGTTGTTCTTACACATTTCTGGACCTGTGGAACTTAAACCCAGGCCTCCTGGTCCAGAATAGGATCGCTACCCATGCAACACAAAGGCCCAAGAATGCAGCACAGCCATGGAAACCCGTGATGTTGGCCAAAGCCCGTTAGCTCTCTTGTGATAGTTATGTGACATCTACCTCTGCTGTAAGTGCCTTTATGTTCAGTTATAGCTTAATGGCTTTTTAAGCCATTAAATATAAATGGCTTGTAACAAGGTGTCAGAGTGATGCAGTTGAAAAAATGTGTGGATTTTCAAGCCGATTTTTGAACCAGGTACTGTGTAAAAATATGAGTTGAATTCTCAGAGCTCTAAGAAAGCTAGCGACTGAAAGAAATAGCAAGGAAAAAGCACAAGAAAATCGAGTCTCCTGCTTTGGATTACTTGGCAAATCAAAATGCTTCTACATTTTCCACTTCCTGCCGTTGTGGAAATGAAAGTAGATATGAGACAGCATTGGATTTTCTTTTCTACTCAGTTAGAAATATTATGAAATAACAACAGAATGAATTAAAATGGAAGCTTATAAAAGTTGCAACCTTGCTGTTAGTGCTAGGAACAGAGGTCATTACAGCCTAGATCTTACGGACGAGCAGAAAAGCCACAGAGGAGGAGATGTTTCATGCTGTAAAGACACTTTGAACCCCATATTAGTGTTAATCATTCTACCACTAATGTACTCGTTCAATGCCAGAGCTCAAGGAGGGAAGGTGAGAGACTATTGATCAATATGTGACCACACTAATACAACTGAATCCTGAGAGTTTGGACAACTGAAAGCTGATCTCAGAGATAGCATTGTCTTAGGCATAAGAGATCCTGGAGAGCACATTTATTAAGAGAGGAGAAACTTACTGTCAAGAAAACTGTTGATATCTGCAAAAGTTCTAAACTTGTCAATCATCAGCTTGAGCACATTAATAGGAGAACAAACAAGGTTTTTCATTATGCTGAGAGACCTTCCAGACCAAGTGAGATCAACAGATTTGTAAAAAGGAAGAACGTTTTGCAGAAAAGGCAACAGAAAAATCAAGACCAGGTGGCCTGAATAAAAATCTGACTATCTCAGACTGGAATATTTTTAATGTCCCAGTTCAACAGCTCCCTATGGTTAGGAATTCTAGATTCACTCCTCTCTGAGGGATGAAATTCCTCCACATCTCTGTCTTAAATAGATGACTCCTCATTGTGAGATTATGCTCTCTGCTCATAGAGTCTCCCAAAGGGGAAACATTATCTCCACATCTGCCAAGCCTACTAAGCATTTTAAGTGTTTCGATAAAGTCACCTCTAATTCTTCTAAACCTCAATAAGTCCAAACTACTCAACCTCTCCTCATAGGAAAATCCCTCCATTTCTGGGAGCAACCTCATGCCAAGGGGATAAATTAAACTGAAAGCCCAGTGCAATGGGAAGAATGAAAACCTGGAGTTCCAGTTGGCAGATGATAAACAAAATCCATTTATTTCAGCAAGTTGGAAGCTTGGAGAAGTAACCCTAGCTGTGCCAGAAGTGCTTTGCATAAACAGCTTGTCCATTGACTACCAAACAGATGCTAGATGAGTTTAAAGCTGTTTTTACAAGTCTTGGATGTCTTCCGGGTGAATATTGTGTCAAAGCGAATGAGAGTGAAAGACTGATGTAGCATCTGCGAGGAGGGTTCCCATTACCTTCTCGTCCAACCTGAAAGCCAAGGTAGAACGGCTAGTAAAGAAGGCAGCAGTCAAGAATGTGACAACTCATATAGACTGGATGTGAAGCACAGTATCAATGAAAACCTGGAAAACTAAGAGTATGTGTAGATCCAGACAATTAGTAAAACTTAGAAGAGGTCTCGTTACTCAATTCCAACAGTTGAAGGAATCTTGCAGCAGCCTGCCAAGGCAAAGGTCTTCACTACTCTCGTTATAAAGGATGGGCAAAGGCAAGTGAAGCCTGATATAAAGAGCAGTTTTCTCATTGCTTTCTGTTTACTGTTCTGGAGAAATAGATGGTTGCATATTGCCACTTGGCATTTCCACAGCTCCAGAAGAGTATCAGTACAGGCAGCTTGAGGTAGCAAGGTCTGCAGCCATTAAAGAAGGCAGCTCACCGCCACCTTTGCAAACTAGGGACAGGCAATAAATACTGACCCAGCCAGTGACACCCTTGTCCCACAAGTGAATAAAAACAAGTCAGTGATAATTCCAGAGTAAAAGAGTTATTGTGGATGGTCTACTTGTCTATGGATGTGGAGATGCAATAGATGAAGCCATCACAAATCATGATCATAATCTAGTTCAACTGCTAGTGAGAGCTCACCAGGTGAGTCTGGAGCCGAATGAGAAAAGGAGGCAACTGTGGATCCTGAAGTCAAGTACATAGGTCACATACTGACAGCAAAAGAACTTTGCCCAGATCCTGCAAAGTGCTAGCTGTACCAGCGAGGCAGTTACCAACAGATGTAAAAACAAAGCGCTTGCTTAATTTGCTGTCAAAGTGGGAACCACAACACAAGTTCACTGCTAAGGATGTGCAGTGGTGGGACACAGAACAGGAAGCATCTTTCATGGTAACAAACACTACTGCTGACAATAGCAGGACTGAGGTACTGCAGTGTCAATAATGAAGTTACTTTACAGTGTGACACCAGTGAATCAAGACTCAGAGCAACACTTGTGCACCAGGACAGCTAGTTACATCTGTGTCCAGGGCGTTAAAACAAAGTGAGCAACACTGTGTTCAGATTGAGAAAGAACACCTGGCTATTGACTTTGCTTGTGAGCATTTTAATCAGTACCTGGTTTAAGAGAGAAAAAATGGTAGTCGAGTCTGCTATAAAGCACTTACACACATCTCCCTCAAATCATTTTGCCTGCTTCAGTGTGCCTGCATAGAATGTTACTTTGTTTGCAAAGATATCATCTGGATGTGAAATACAAGCAAAAGAAACATACATACATTGCAGACATGCTGTCAAGAGCTTCACTGCCTATGAAAGTTGAGGATGCTAAAACAGTGTGTGGAAAGAAAACTACAAAACAAGGTGCAATTCTCCAAGTGCTACAAAGAAGAAGTGATGAAAGGATAGCCTGAAAACAACACTTTATTGCCATAGGAGAATACTGGGCAAGCAGAGACTAACTGATAGCCCAAGATAGCATCTTGCATATAAGAAATTGAATCATTATCCCAGAGGAGTTGAGGAAAGAGATGCTAAGGTTCATTCATGCAAGGCACCAAAGAACTGAGTCCAATCTGAGGAAGGTCATAGAAGTGCTGCACTGAACCAACACGAGCAATGAAATGAAGGATCACTTCAGACTGTGCAGTGCTTGTCACAAATGCCAAGCTAAGGAGCCATGTATGACACACAACACCCCACAACACACTATGGATTAAGCTTGGAGTTGATCTCTTTATTCTTGCAGAAAATGACCATCTTGTCACTGTAGACTGCTAGTTTGATTAATGGGAGTTAAATCAGCTGAATTCAAGGACTACTGCTGAGACCATGGAATGCCTAAATGCACAATTCAGTCATTACAGCATTCCAAACATTGTGATGAGTGGCAGTATCACAAATGAAGAATCCAACTCTTTTATAAAGGATTTGGAAATTCAGCATCATACATTATCTCCACACTAGCCCCAAGTCAAATGAAAAGGCTGAGGCAACATTGAAAATTGCCAAAGGGATCATAGAGAAATTGAGTAAATTCAGCATAGAATTGCACCAAGGAATCCATGAGTGGAGAAGTGCACCTATTGAAGGCATAGAAAGTGGCGTAGTCGATAAACTAATATCATACTAATGTTGTACCCAAACTGTTCTTCCAATGGCAAAAATAACACTGAAGCCAGAAACATGAATGAGTGAAAAGATTGAGGTGAAACAGAAGAAAGCCACATTACACTTTGATAAAAGTGCCAAGTCATTGCCATAGCTGAGTATCGGAGGGCCAGTCAGAGTTTGAGCTATAGGGAGAGACTGAATAGGCTGGGGCTATTTCTCCTGGAGTGTCGGAGGCTGAGGGATTACCTTATAGAGGTTTATAAAATCATGTGGGGCACGAGTAGAGTGAATAACCAAGGTCTTTTTCCCAGGGTAGGGCAGTCCAAACCTACAGGGCAGAGGTTTAAGGTGAAAGGGGAAAGATTTAAAAGGGACCTGAGGGGCAACTTTTTCACACAGAGGGTGGTACATGTGTGGAATAAGCTGCCACAGGAAGTGGTGGTGGCTGGTACAATTACAACATTTAAAATGCATCTGGATGAGTATGTGAATAGGAAGGATTTAGAGGGATTTGGGCCAAATGCTGGCAAATGAAAGTAGATTTACCTAGGATATCTGGTTGGCATGGACAAGTTGGACTGAAGGGTCTGTTTCCATGCTGTACATCTCTATGACTCAATGACCTTGAGTGTACTTGATGGCTTTGTCATAGTCATGTGACCTCTAACTCTGCTGTAAGTGCTTCTATGTGCATCCTATAGGAGCTATTAAAGAGAAGCTTGAAACAGATAATCATTTGTTTGAAGTTTGGGAGAAGTTTGAAGGGCAAAATGGGTATAAATTGGCAGGACAAAATAATTATGATTTTCAAGACATTACATGCTTCAGAATGGTCAAAAACAGTAGGACACCATATTATAGTCACAGAAGATGGCATTGTTTTAAAGACTTGGGTTGGGAGGTGAAAAACACAATTGGAGAGATTAAGAAAGAAAATTCCAAGAAATCTGACCATGGGATTTGACAGTATTTTTAAGAACTGAAATAATAGGTAGGTGAAGTTATGATTGTACTTCGCCAGAATAGAAAAGGGTCTTTTTTCCGAGGAGGTGTGATGGTGATGGTTTTAAACGAAAACGGTACAAGTACCTGAAGAGGTATGACCATTTATACTGTTAACTAGCTTGAGGGCACCAAAAAAAATTGGATCGTTAGGAATTTGATGTGAATACAGTCAGTGGAGCAGGAAATTGTGTGATGGACAAGAACCAAGTTGACAGGGGAAAAAAAAGCAAAATGCAGATTCAGGGTAAGACAGGCATGTGGTTTGGTTTGATCATAAAGAGAAAGCTGGCATTAGGGTGGATGAATGTGGCACAGTTACAGTTGCGTAAATGCTGGGTCCACTGCTTTTTGTCATTTATATAAATGATTTGGGTGTGAACATAGGAGATATGGCTAGTAAGTTTGCAGATGACAACAAAATTGGAGTGCACAGTGAAGAAGGTTACTTCAGAGTACATAAGGATCTTGATCAGATGGTGAAATGGGCTAAGGAGTGGCAGATGGAGTTTAATTTAGGTAAATGTGAGGTGCTGCATTTTGGAAAGGCAAATCAGGGCAGGAATCATACACTTAATGGTAAAGTCCTGGGGAGTGTTGCTGAACAAAGAGACCTTGGAGTGTAGGTTCATAGTTTCTTGAAAGTGGAGCCCCAGGTAGACAGAATAGTGAAGAAAGCACTTGGTATACTGGGCTTTGTTGGTCAGTGCACTGAGTATAGGAGTTGGGAGATCATGTTGCAGCTGTACAGGACATTGGTTAGGCCACTTTTGAAACACGGCGTCTAATTCTGGTCTCCCTGCTATAGGAAGGATGTTGTGAAACCTGAAAGGGTTTGGAAAAGATTTACAAGTATGTCGCCAGGGTGGCAGGGTTTGAACTATAGGGAGAGGCTGAGTAGACTGGGGCTATTTCCCCTGGAGCATCGGAGGCTGAGGGGTGATCTTATCAAGGTTTACAAAATCATTCAGGCATGGATAGGGTGATAGCCAAAGTCTTTTCCCAGGGTAGGGGAGTCCAAAACTAGAGGGCATAGGTTTAAGGTGAGTGGGGAAAGATTTAAAAGGGACCTAAGGGGCAACTTTCTCACGCAGAGGGTGGTGCATGTATGGAATGAGCTGCCACAGGAAGTGATGGAGGCTGGTACAATTACAACATTTAAAAGGCATCTGATGGGAACATGAATAGGAAGAGTTTGGAGGGATATGGGCCAAATACTGGCAAATGGGACTAGATTTATTTGGGATGTCTAATCAGCATGGGTGAGTTGGATCAAAGAGTCGGTTTCTGTGCTGTACAGCTCTATGACTCCAACCGTTTCAATTATGTGACAAATGAGTTCATGAGCTCCTCATACTTGGCGATGAAGTTCGAAGAAGTGGTAGAGAGACGTTTAAGAAGATAGTCAGTTATGAAGAAAAGGTGCTTTGGATTATCTTTGCTCTCAAACTTGATTCTTTAGTAGTGAGTGATTTTAATAGAGAAGCGTGAGATGTATTAGCTCTTGATGTGGTCAAGTTTCTGGTCATTGAGAGCTAAACCATTGTGCGCCAGATGTACTCAAATCTGCCACCCTCATGTTTGTAGGAGTGAAAATGGGACTACAGCAGGAAGACTTCACATGTCACACACAATATCTAAGCCAAAACTTAGGCTTCTTTACGGAAACCTGCTCCAAGATGTCTAGCAGTGTTTCTGTATACTGAAAGTCACCCAGGTTTTAGGTGATTTCTCTTTGTTTTCTCTTTAATTCTCGCATGTTTTCTCTCTATCTCTCAAGAAATGTCTGTCTGAAAATCACCACTTCCAGGCAATCAACAATGTACCAAATTGTTAATTTTGGTTTGAACAAATGCTAAAACCACTTATGGTGGGATACAAGAATTTTTTTCAATAGAGCTGAGTAGCTAATTAAAGACAGAAGAAATTATACAGAATGCTGCACAAGGAATGTGGCATAATTATGAGAAGTGTATTAAATATGATTAGCGTTAGTTTGTTTGCCAGTCATTGTTAAAATTCCTGTCTACCGATGAAATACTTGTGCTTTAATAAATACTTTCTACCTTCATTTGTAGCTAATACCTGTATACAAAGAACATACAAGCAGTTCCACCTGGGATCCAAAAATGAGAAAGAATATTCTGGAGTTCTAGCAGATCTACTGCTGCAAGGCCTGCTGCCCCTAGATGACATCAAAGCTAGCATTACAGAGCTTATGGCAGGTGGAGTTGACACAGTAAGAGAAAATTGTTTTCTTACCTGACAGTGAGGCTAATGCTTGGTGGGGTGAGATGAAGAGGAATGGGAGGAGGCTTGTGTAATCATAAATGCCAGCTAGATGCATTGGGCCAAATGGCCTCAAACTGTGCTGTACACTCTATAGGTTGAATTTCCTCACTGGCTCTGACAAATGAAGAATGTGCAGACCCCGACTGCAGTGGTATTTGTGACATCACCCACCAGTGTGATCTTCCTAAAGGCTGCCAGTGAACAGGCCACCTCCAGCAACTCTGTCCAATTCATTAAATCACAGAATCCTTATAGTGTGGAAGAGGCTATTCAGCCCATTGAGTTCATACTGACCCTCCAAACAGCATCCCTCTCAGACCCAATGCCCCATCCTACCCCTGTATCCCTGCATTTCACATGGCTAATCCACCTAACCTACACATCCCTGGACACTATGGGGAATTTCCCATAGCTAATTTGCCTAACCTGCACATCTTTGGACTGTGGGAGGAAACCAGAGCACCCGGAGGAAACCTACACAGACATGGGGACAATGTGCAAACTCCACACAGTCAGTCACCCAAGGATGGAATTGAACCTGGATCCCAGGCACTGTGAGGCAGCAGTGCTAACCACTGAGTCACCATGCTACTACTAGGGACATTAATTTGGCTGAGCAGACAGAAGACTAATCAGAGCATCCAAAGCTGTGGCTGGCTGCCTTTCCAGGAGAGGGAACCTCAAGAGTTGAGGTGCCCTTTGAAGACATCTACAATTGTTAGCAAATGGTCAGAACTGCCCCTTTACCTGATTACATGCAACTGCGATTGTGGCCCATGGATCCCCTCAGTTCCAGGAAGGTGGTAGGTTGGGGTTTGGGGAGATAGGGGTGTGGAATTGAAGTGAAGGCATCAATTGTTTAAGTTTGGGTAGGATGACCCTGATGGCCAGGGAGTCCAGAACCGGGGTCACAGTTTAAGAGTATAGGGTAGGCCATTGAGGACTGAGATGAGAAGAATTTTCTTCACTTGGAGAGTGGTGAGCCTGTGGAATTCACTACCACAGAAAGCAGTTGAGGCCAAAACATTGAGTGTTCTCAAGAAGAAGAAAGATATATTTCTTAGGGATAAAGGTATCAAAAGATATGCAGAGAAAGTGGAAACAGGGTACTGAGTTAGATGATACGCCATGATGAAGTTGAATGGTGGAACAGACTCGAAGGGCCGAATGGCCTACTCTCTCTCCTATATTCTAGGTTTCCAGCCTGCTACTGGGAAACTGCATCCAGGAAAAGGCAGTGCTTTGACCTCAATGGGGAGTCCATCTGCCACTGAAAAAAATACCACCTGCCTCAAAAATTAGCCCTCAAGTGGGCATTTAAAATTCGTCTTAGCTAGCCAGCTGCCACTGCCAAGTGGGCCACCAGTGCCAGTCAGAATCTATCAAGATTGCTCAGAATTTGGAACACCATCAGGCAGTTGCGTGGATCCGAGATCCTCTAACTTTGCTCCCAGTCTCGCCTCCAAATCCATCTCAGGGAAAATTCTGCACTTGGTAGCAGGAAAGGAAGAGGAGAACATGCACCCACAGGCATGAAACAAATGTCAATTATATTAAAGCAAAATATTGTGGCTGCTAAAACACCTGAAATGCAAACAGAAAATACTGAGAATCATCAGCTGGTCAGATGAAAGTATTATCAGCATTTTATGTCAATAATACAACTGACATTATTTAGCATTTAGATTTCTGAGTGACATAGAACAATTTTCTTTTGCTTGCAGTCATATGAATTACTAACTTTACAAATTGGAAAGACACAATACTTATGATTTTCAATACTTAACCGAAACCTCAAGTAGATTAGCAAAAAGTGTTCCTTTAAATTTAGCCTGGGCAACGTGTGCAAGACACTATACTTTCTGCATCATCTCAAAGTCTGTAGAGCTGCCATGGCATTGGGAATGATTTAGAAAGCAGTCAAAATATGATAAGAAAAAAACAAAAACACAGAAACTATGAAAGACTCTGAGTGAAAACCAAGAAGGAATTGTGAAAGAGAAAACAAAGTCAGAAGTCCAGTCAATTAATAAATGAATGCAAGAGACAGTATACATATCACCTTCAACATGTGTATTTTACATGATACAGTACAGTATTCACAAAGAAAGCAACTGATGTATTTGCACTGGAAGGCAGAATCTCTTAGTTAAGTTCCAACTAAAGTTATCAGTTGCAAATTTGATAACCTTGTCCTTGATGTTTATTTGGCACAAATGGGAAATGGTCCAGCTTGTGGCTTTTCTGAAAACTGCAGATGAGAGTGTTTTGGTAAATGGAGCTAATTGCAGCATTTTCTCTGAATGGTTGGACCTTATGAGGGAATGTGTGACTTTAAAGTGTAACTGTTTATTAATTTGAATGAAAAGCTGTGCATTGGATAATCCCAATTCAATTACAATACTAGATCTTGCTGGAGAACATGGCATGTCCCATACTTAGATCTTTTCCCTCACTATTCAACCTGAAAAGATGTACAGTGACATTGTGATAGAAGTCTGAGCTGAAAACAGGACAGCAAGACTTTCAGCACCAAACTATCTTTGACCAATAGGAGATTAAGGAATAGAGATTTAAGGATAGAGAAGGAGTAGGTGAATTAGTCATATCAGATACAGAAAGAGTAGGGCAATGGATGTTGTCTATAAGAACTTTATTAAAGGGGCGGCACAGTGGCTCAGTGGCTCGCACTGCTACCTCACAGCGCCAGGGACCCGGGTTCAATTCCACCCTCAGACGACTGTCTGCGTGGAGTTTGCACATTCTCCCCATGTCTGCATGGGTTTCCTCCAGGTGCTCTGGTCCAAAGATGTGCAGGTTAGGGTGGATTGGTCGTGCTAAATTGCCCGTAGTATTCAGGGATGTGTAGCTTAGGTTGGTTATAAGGGTCTGGGTGGGATGTTCCAAGGGTCAGTGTGGACTTGTTGGGCCAAAGGGCCTGTTTCCACACTGTAGGGATTCTATTTTATAAAAGAGAAATATAGAGTGGAATTTATTCCAGGTGCTGAGGATCTTCCTGACTCAAGAGTCACTGAAAGCCTTATGCCAAATCTGTTGGGAAGGCCCAACTTTCTAAGTGCCTATTCAACAGTTGAGTGGCCACCACAAGGCCTTCCCGAGAATTAAGGACCCTGAGGATGAAAGTCCAATCAGATCATAGATCATAGAACCCCTACAGCGTGGAAACAAGCCCTTCAGCCCAACAATTCCACACTGGCCCTCAGAGCATTCTTCTTTCGTAGGATACTGGAGGAGGCTAGAGAGGAGATTTCTGAGGCCTTGAAAGAGATCTTCACACCTTCCTTAGCCACAAGTTAGACCCCAGAAGATTGCCAAAATAGCTAATGTTGTTCATTTGTTTAAAGAAGGGAAACATGGATAACCCAAGAAATTACAAACCAGTCAGCCTTATATCTGGGGTAGGGAAATTATGGAAGAAGTTTCTTAGAGACAGGATCTACTCTCATTTGGAGAAGAATGTATTTATTAGAGATAGTCAGCGTGGCTTTATGCAGGGGAGATTTTGTCTCACAAACTCGATTGAGTTTTTTAAGGCAGTAACAAAAATGATTGATGAGAGTAGAGCAATGGATGTTGTTTATAAGAACTTTAGTAAAGGGGCGGCACGGTGGCTCAGTGGTTAGCACTGCTGCCTCACAGCACCAGGGACCTGGGTTCGATGCTGGTATTGTTCATTGCAGGCGGTGCCACTTGCAACTGTGGCAGCTATGGACCATCCACCCACCAAAGGCCTGTGTCAACCTGGGGATTAAGGCTAAAGGACAGCATGGGGTCACAACATGGAAGTTATTGGGGGGGGCGGCATGGGAAAGGGCAGGGAGGCAGCTTTCAGCACCCACTCCATCTCCTTTATCCCAATGTTGGGTCTTTCAATCAGGTACAGAGTACATTTGAATAAGGGACATCCCTCCCCCCAGACAATTACCCTCCCATCTTCCCAGCCCAGGAGCCCACAACAGATTTGTTTTTTAGCCTTCTCACATGTTGACACCCCAGTCTGTCACTGGGTTGAATGCCAGTCATGGCAGGAGTAAGCCCATATGTGCCCCAAATAGAGTTTGGTTTGATTTGATTTACTATTATCATATGTACTGAGGTAGAGTGAAAAGTATAGCATGCTAACCAGACAAATCTTACCTTACGTAAGTACATCAGGGTAATACAAATTAGTCCCACATTATGCTCTTTCCCCACGCCTTTAAATTTCCTTCCTTTTCAGGAAGGATATCATTAAACTGGAGAGGGTTCAGAAAAGATGTACCAGGATGTTGCCTGGAATGGAGGGTTTGAGTTATAAAAATAGGCTGGATAGTTTGGGACTTTTTTTTACTGTAGAGTAGGGGGTTGAGATGTGACCTTATAGAGGTTTATTAAAATTGTGATGAACATTGATAAGGTGAATAGCAAGCATCTTTTCCCTGGGGTGGGGGAGTTCAAAACTAGGGGCAAATTTTTACGGTGAGAGGAGAATTATTTAAAAAGGACATGAGGGGCATTTTTTCCACACAGAGAATGGCTCGTGTGTGGAATGAACTGCCAGAGGAAGTGATGATGCAGGTACAGTTACAACAATTAAAAGACATTTGGATAAGTACATGAATAGGAAAAATTTAGAACAAGAACAAAGAACAAAGAAAATTACAGCACAGGAACAGACCCTTCAGCCCTCCAAGCCTGCGCCGATCCAGATCCTATATCTAAACCTGTCGCCTATTTTCCAAGGATCTGTATCCCTCTACTCCCTGCCCATTCATGTATCTGTCTAGATACATCTTAAATGACGCTATTGTGCCCGCCTCTACCACCTCCACTGGCAACGTGTTCCAGGCAACCACCACCTTCTGCGTAAATATCTCCCTTAAACTTTTCCCCTCTCACCTTGAAATCGTGACCCCTAGTAATTGAGTCCCCCACTCTGGGAAAAAGCTTCTTGCTATCCACCCTGTCTCTACCTCTCATAATTTTGTAGACCTCGATCAGATCCCCCCTCAACCTCCGTCTTTCTAATGTAAATAATCCTAATCTACTCAACCTGTCTTCATAGCTAGCGCCCTCCATACCAGGCAACATCCTGGTGAACCTCCTCTGCGCCCTCTCCAAAGCATCCACATCCTTTTGGTAATGTGGCGACCAGAACTGTATGCAGTATTCCACATGCGGTCGAACCAAAGTCCTATACAACTGTAACATGACCTGCCAACTCTTGTGCTCAATACCCCGTCCGATGAATGAAAACATGTCGTATGCCTTCTTGATCACTCTATCGACCTGCATTGCCACCTTCAGGGTACAGTGGACCCGAACACCCAGATCTCTCTGTGCAACAATTTTCCCCAGTGCTTTTCCATTTATCGTATAGTTCGCTCTTGAATTGGATCTTCCAAAATGCATCACTTCGCATTTGCATGGATTGAACTCCATCTGCCATTTCTTCGCCCAACTCTCCAATTTATCTATATTCTGCTGCATTCTCCGACAGTCCCCTTCCTATCTGCTACTCCACCAATCTTAGTGTCATCTGCAAACTTGCTAATCAGACCATCTATACCTTCCTCCAGATCATTTATGTATATCACAAACAACAGTGGTCCCAACACGGATCCCTGTGGAACACCACTGGTCACAGTTCTCCATTTTGAGAAACTCCCTTCCACTACAACTCTCTGTCTCCTGTTGCCCAGCCAGTTCTCTACCTATCTAGCTAGTACACCCTGGACCCCATGCAACTTCACTTTCTCACTTGCTCACTTTCTCACTTTAGATGGATATGGGCCAAATACAGGTAATGGAAATAGTTTAGTTTGGCTGAAGGGTCTGTTTCCATGCTGTATGACTGTAGAACAGAATGCAGAACATAGTGTTACTGCTACCGAGAAAGTGCAGAGAAAGATCAGCTCTAATATATGAGAGTTCCATTTATAAGTCTGATAACCACAGGGAAGAAGCTGTTCTTAAATCTGTTGGTATGGACAGGAAAGCCATCCATAAGATCTCTCATCCAAGACCTAATCTGACAGAGATGAGAAGGCGTCAGCATCCCATCCCACATCCTACTGCCCAATTATTCAAAGATTCAAGAACAGCTTCTTAACTGCTGTTATCTGACTTTTGAATGGACCTCTCATATGTTAATTCTGGTCTCTGTCTCTCTCTCTGCACCTTCTCTGCAGCTGTAACACTGTATTCTGCACTCTGTTCTGAAACCCTGGTGCACTTTGTACGGTATGATCTGCCTGTACAGCACGCAAAACAACACTTTTCACTGTATCTCGATACACGTGACAACAATAAATCAATCAAACAATCAATCAATTAAATGGTCTCCCCCCCTCCTCCAAACTCACCACCAGGGATCATTAAATTCCAACCAAAGAGTACAAAAGAAGACAGAAAGGAAAAGTAAGATAATAAATGTAAAACGTCATATTTAATAACAGTTAAGTTGTCTTCAGCCTTATGTTTTGGTGATTTATTCATTGTAAACAAACCCAGATATATGTGTATATTCATCTTCATACTTTCAATCCATGTAGACTTGTAAAAAAAAATCCATCATAAACTTGTAATTCTATTTCTGTCATAAAACAGACTTCCATGACTCTCTTATGGACTATGTATGAGCTTGCCAAAAACCCCAACGTGCAAGAAAATTTACGCAGTGAAATTATAGAAGCCAATCAGAAAACACAAGGTGATCTACTACAAATGTTAAAATCAGTGCCACTACTCAAAGCTGCATTAAAGGAAACACTGAGGTAAGAACAGGTCGCAATTATAAGAAACATCAGCTATGATCTTTTCAAATTCTTAAGGCATTTAAAATGACTGAGAAGGTACTATATGTACCAGTAGTGTTTTAGTGCCGTAGTGAGGGATTTCTACGCTATCTTAGGCTTTGTTTTCAGATGCTGCTTTAAACTCAGATATTCTCTACTCTCTCAAGTGGACTTGATTCCAAGACACTATTTTGATGAAGAGTAGGCAAAATATCTCTCGTGTCCTGGCCATTGATCCCTCAGTCATTACCAATAAAATTATCTGGTCATTGGTTCGTTGTTATGGTCAGAGCTTACTGTGTAAAAATGGTTGCTGTGTTTCATACATAACAAACACGGTAACTCTTCAAAAACTTAATTAACTATAAAAAACTTCGGGACATTCTAAGGCCACGAAAAACACTATATAAATGCAAGTCTTTCATTGTCCTTTTCAATAGAGTAGCAGGTAATTGTGGTTTATACCCTACCCTCTACTTTTCTGTAATTAACTCTGGGTTGAAGTTGGTTATATATGGACAAACTAAATGCCACAACACACCTATAATAGATTACATTATTTATTATTAAGTAACTAGTTAAGAGACATTATGATAAAGGTTTTCATCTTGCGCAGATGCAAGAACGACAAATTTCAAAAGGAGCTAAAATTTATACTGCATGAGAAATCCAGGCTGATTGGTTATCTTCTCAGTTCTGATTGGTTGACGATTGCCTTAGAAAATGGCAGGGAACTGTTGTCCTCACACTTTTGACATTCTTGCATCTGCCCTGATGAGTGCAAGATAAAAAAACATTGGCAGCATTTCTTGATCTCAGCAATACTCAAGTTGTGTACTATACTACCCAGTGACTATTTATTACTAATCAATAATTTAAACGTCTCGTAGCAACATGATATATATCTCTGCATTTAATATGTAACACATTTCAGTCAAGCAATCGTAATAAAATATATTCTTACCTAGACACCTTTATCTTCTCAGCTCCCAACCACATTCCCGAGGGCAGTTAGGGTTGAGCAATAAATACTGGCCTAGCTATCAACACCCACAGTTCTATGAATGAATAAAAACCTTCATTTGTTCAAGGTAACTGACTCCCAACCTTTCTCCTGATCACAGGCAAATAAACTATAATAGACCTAAATGCAGTTCAAGCTAATATGAATGTAATTTTTTTAAGAAGCTAAACAGTTGCTGCCTCCTGTACTGTGCTGACTTGAAGATGCAAAATCAATCCAAAATGGAGTGAATTGGCTTCCTTTCCCCAAGAATATACCTATATGAGCACTATCTCTGATCCTCCTAATGTTCAAACAAAGTGAGGATTTCTGATTGACAAATTCCAATGACTTGTAACAGACACCAGCACTGATTTCAAGATTCCACAGGAATTACCTTTAAAAGTGGCCATCCCCTAAATTCTACTTTGTCTGATTTAATGTTCCTGTGACCAATGCCACAAAAGATTCACTTAACACACACATCGACACCCACATGAAAATCAACCTCAGAACTTCCTGAAGAATAATTCACAATTCAATCTCAGAATTTACACAGAATTGTGAATTATTTCATGATAAAAGTGCTACTAGAATTGATCATCTTACTGCCAGCATTAATGTGGCTACATCCATTTCAGTTTTAGCAGAGATTCTGGGACTTATGATGGGCTGCAATGATTTCAAAATATGTAAAATTCATTAATCTACACAACATTTTTAAAAATATTTTGATTTCATTGCAGGCCATAGACAGGATTATTGCAGAATATTACTTCAAAGTAAGCCAGAGAAATTAGATCCTCATTTTTACTGTTGGAGTAACATTAGGGAGATTCTAAATGGAATTGCTATAACGAGAGAACTAGGAGATGGCATGTGTAAGCTTTTTTCAGGATTTGATGACCATGCACAGACAGATTCAATGTGGCAAACTGGACCTGCAACGTTATGTACAAGGAAAGATGATTGATTAGGAAAATGAAACAAATGAATAGTAAAGGGTGTGGAATCGTGTTCAGATCCTTTTTTTCTTTTTTTTTATTCACTCATGGGCCTTGGGCATTGCTAACGGCCAGCATTCATTGCCCGTTTCTAGTTTCCCTCAAAAAGTTGCCCCTGCCTTCTTTAGATTTTAATATCATATCAAGTCAGTGCCTTTGCAATTTTATTCATTAGAATAACACATAAGAAAACCACAGAAGAAAGCCATTCAGGCCAATGTGCTGGTATTTCCTCTTCGAAAGCTTCATCCATCTCCCCTTAGTCACTTTGGTTATGGTCTAACTGCTTCCCACTTGTTTTGTACTTTGTCTCTTGATAATGTGATTTACTTCTATTCATAGGCTTCATCCAGTAGCTGTAACATTACAGCGCTACACAAATGAAGACATTGTATTGCAAAATTACCACATACCTGTTGGGGTAAGATATAGGCAATAAAGTACTTTACTTACCATGCTGGTTTGCAGAAACGATGTGTCATCATCCACTGCAGCTTCCATCACACTCCAAAACAGTTTTCCAATTTTATTACCTTTCACGATGCAACGATGATTGCACTTCAACGTTATTCACATTGCCATATTTATTTGTAAACAGATAGTGGATGCACATAGGGCTTCTTAATTATTGTGTCAACATTGATTCATTTTGATCCCTGAGTCAGAAGATCACAAATTCAGGTCCTTATTATTCAAAATTGAGTAAGAAATGAAGATTGCTGCCGCAGTGAATTATTGAAGGTACGCTTCACCGTTACTACCTCTGTCTTTCAGAGTTGTTAAATGGAGGACCCGGTCAATGCACAAAATCCCATGGCACTAGTCTTCTCCCTGAGGGGCCTGGTTAAAAATTTCCCTCAAAAAAGAACAGATTTTCTGATCATTATTAGCCTGTTGTTTGTGACCCTCCCTATGTACAAATTAGCTGGGCTGGTTTCTGCATTACAACAGTCACTATATGTAACAAGTATTTAATTGATTATAAAGCATCCAAGGACACCCTGGGGTCATATAAAGTACCATATAAATGCATGTATTTATTTTATGGCAGAGCATCACAGCTGAAGCCTCTCACGTCCTCATCAGATAATCAACTACACCCTTTTTTTAAAACAGAAAGCAGAACCAAAATCCTGGCTGATTTTTTACCTCCCAGTGCTTCATTGGTTCAGAATATTTTACTTTACATGGGAGTAGAGATCAGGCTTGTTCTTTCCGAATGTAAAATTCAAATGCACAAATGCAGTATAATTTATGTCTGAGCTTTAGACCACTGCCAATCATTTGTAGTGTGTGTGTATAAATACATATATTATGGACACAAATATACTGGGAAGAGATACGTGAGATTGCAATGATTATAGAATGAATAGGAAAAGTTGGAGTGACTTCATTATGTAACATCTGCAACTGTAGAACTCTGCTTCATGCAGACATTTATTGTGTATTGTGTTGACTGTTCCAGTAATACACCAACAATTGTAAAACATTCGTGATATTGTTTGTTAATCATGATAGCTGCCTAGAGTTCTAGAATTGCAGTGAGTTCAGTCTAGTTTCGACCCGAAACGTCAGCTTTCCTGCTCCTCTGATGCTGTCTGGCCTGCTGTGTTCCTCCAGCTCCACACTGTGTTATCTCAGACTCCAGCATCAACAGTTCTTACCATCTCTCAGTCTAGTTTCTGATGTTTGCCTCTTCAAGCCAAAACAAACTCCTGAATTGTTAAATTTTAATGACTAACAATTAAACAGTTGTGTCATGATGTTATAGTTAAATACCACACACCTGGCAAAGTTAAATATTTCTACACAATTAGTTGTGAATGTTATATTGCAAAATCTTCTCACCAATTATCAGCAACTGTTTTGTGTGGTCAAGAGTTTTGACCTGGAGAGTCAGGCAGCAACTTGAGTGCTTGGTTTCTCGCTACGTTGAAGTTTGCTGGCCAGCCACAATAAATGCAGTGACACTGTTCTAGTCAAATGCACAAATTTGAATAAATATCTCACATAAACCTACAGAATATTTCTAATTATTTTCATGTGTATATTTCCTGAATAAGTTCTATCATCTATCAGCACCTGACGTATTAAAAGACTGTTAACAATCAAACAACATTTACAAACTCTGCTTTGCATTTTACACGAAACAGTACAATAATTTTACAGTATGCATGCATTTCCCTATGTGAATATCAGTATTTGAGATCACAAGCCCAATGATAGAGTGTATTACTCAATGCTTTTCAACATAATTAGCAGTTGCCAAGTAGCACCTTGTGCTTTAGTGTTCAATAACATTGGTATAGAAGCAGTAATATAGTCTCTGGTTTATTCCAACCATAGACCTTAGTGCAGGTGGGATTGTATGCAATGGGAAGAAACTCGGAGATATTTCACAAGCCAGAAAGGTACAACCCAAAAAGGTGGCTGAACCAGGAAAGTAACTACTTCAGAAACCTTGGCTTTGGATTTGGACCCCGGCAGTGCATTGGGCGTAGGATCGCAGAGACAGAAATGCTGCTGTTTCTAATTCACGTAAGTCACTCATTTGTTTTTTGCCAGAAGTTGCCGAACTCACAATAACAACTTTCCATTTTAGGATTCTCAACTTTTTGTTCAAATCAAGTCAGAACCAACATTTTAAGACAGCTTAAACACTAAATCAAAGTTCAGCAATGTTTGTGGAAGGCTTTCATAAATACTTCCATCAAAATAAGGGATTTATAAACCTCTCTCTAGCAGCACTCTATCAAATTCAATACTTTCAGAAACTATCAATGGCTGAGAAATGAGGGAGAGATTTTTAAAAAGAACCTATGTATTAACCCTAGTAACAATGTGAGATTGGATGGGCAAATTGAATTTACATTTGCTGTTTATTTAACATGCTGATTTTTATATGAATTATTTTTTGTGATGTTGATACACTATAACTGCTGATTAATGCCTATTACCCTGTTTTCTTGTTAGATGCTGCAGAACTTCAAAATTGAAACAAGTCGTTTGATTGATGTGAGAACAACCTTTGACCTTATCCTGATTCCGGAGAGCCCCATCATGTTAATTTTAAAGCCTGTTAAGTAAAGAGAAAAGGATATATTTATGGAAGATACATTATATGTTTGTTTCATCTTTTCATTGGAAACTAATTCATGGGTAATCATAAGAAGTATACAGGTTCACTGATCATTAATGGGTTAGCACTGTTAGTCAATTTATTTATCCATTACTTGGATTTATTTCAGTGCGACTGTGATAACGGTCAAATTAAGGTATTGAAATGATGTGGTGACCAATTTTCATGAATGATGGGGAGAAGAGAAGTAAGCAAAACCAGTTCAAACAGCAAGGGAAAAAAAATCATATTGCGGAAGGGAAATGTATTGTCTTTCCTCCCACTGGTGTACCCACAAAATGCTGCTTAAACCCATGAGCTAAATAATTTCTGCTTGCTTTATATAATTAATTGTAATGGCATCCTTTCAAAGTAAGTTCATGATTTTATAAAGCTAAGCACACAAAGCGAACTTTACCCTGATGAAAAATGAACAGAACTCCAAATCAATCAGAAAGGTGACAAACAATTTTATATATTGCAAACCTTTGTTTTTACTTGTGATTTTTCAGCTTCATGTTAGGGTATTATTCCTGTTTCTATATTCACTTGGCAAGAATTACTGAAAAAGAGGCATGCTGTCAAAGCTTTTTATGTTGTACTCATCAGGACAGAATCACAAGAATGCCAAATCTCAAAGGGAACAACAATTTACACTCCATAAGCTAAGAATAAGAACTACATGAGAACCGATCAGCATTCTCTTTTCAGCAATATAGATTGTTCTTCACTTTGAGATCTGGTTTTCATTCAACGTGTGCAAATCTCCTATTTTCAGCATTACAAGAATTATTTTTGCAAATAGTAAGATAAACAGAATGTAAATGATTCATCATGGGAACAATATTTCATTTTCAGTTCCATCTGATTCTATAGAACTTTATTACGTTCAATTTAGATCTTTTTAAAAAATGATCAGCAAAGTTTTTTTTAAAGGTTAGTGATGAAAACTCAGAAATCAAAAAGTGAATTTTTATTTTGAATTTTATATTGTATTAAAAAGTCAATAAAATTGACCTTTATTTTGCATTATTTGGGAACTGGGACAATTAGAGAATTGTACAAGTGGTCAAAGTGCCTTCTTAATATATTTCTCACACTACAACCTCCATTGGCTCCTTGTTTGGCAAATTAACTCGTCTTAGAAGTGAATTTATTTTTAAATATGCTTTATTGCTTTAAATATGCAATAATAATCAATTGTCTGCTATTACCAAAGACAATTTCTGGCCTCTGTGGCTATAACACAGATTTATTTGTGGGCTTAGTTTGACCAGGGGATTTTTCTTATTATCCTAATTCTCATGTAGGTCCGCTTAAAATCACACCGTATAAACATTTCCCTAGTTTTGTATCCTGGTGTGTTTGTTTTGTTTGTATTTTTATCATGACAGGAAGTGATGATTATATGCATTAATAAACTTTTGTAAATACCCCGATTATGAAAAAGCCTAGTGATCTGAACAGCCTTCAACTTGGCATTGTGGGTCAACCCACAGCAGGTGGACTGCAGCAGTTCAAGAAAGCAGCTCACCAGCACCTTCTCAAAGGGCAACCAGGGATGGGCAATAAATGCTGGGCCCAACCAGCAACACCCACATCCCACAAAATGAATAAAAAAACTTACAAACAGACTTAAAACCTCAGCAGAATATGCTCAGAATTTTTTTCGAATCATTCTTAGCACATATATTTCAAGATAAATAGACCAATAGTACATTTCACAGATGTATGAAATATTATTTGCCAGCTATTAAGATTTTTCATCTGTTTTTATTCGAGTTTCTCAACTTATTTGGGTGTGTAACTTGTTTTCCCGGGTCCCACCACTGACATTTATTTCCAAAGGGACATTGTAACTCCTTAAGTGATTTTTGGATGTTTAAGTGTGCATCCTGCTGATTGATCCATTGTTCTTATTTGTAGGCCAGTCACATCGCAAATGGCCAACTATTTTTTGATATTCTGTTGTATATTACAAATACGATTCAAATGATAGCCATTAATTAAACATGTTCAGTATTTTGTCTTAACATGTGCCTTGGGCTGTTTTAAAATGATCACTAGCAATAACAGTTGGTACTCTGCAATACAGATACATCACTTGCCCCATGAATATCAGGGTCTAAAGGGGGACAGACCCTGGATTGTGGCAAAATGTGAGGCATGCAAAAGTATGGGAGGTGACAATGATATTATCCATCTGATCCTATGCGCTTCTGCACCCAGGTGTGTATTTGACATGAAATACCACAGCCCTTTATTCCATTAGTGTTTTGCTTGCTGCTATGGATTCTGCAAGTTTTAGTAGCAGTTACTTTATTCCAGTCCCCAGTGCCAGTAACCAACAAGGTAACCTCAAATTATGGAATATCAATAACACTCCAATGCTCCCTCATCTAACACAGCATTCCTGCAGTTCAGATAAACCTAAGGCAAAAACTTATTGCATTTGGCCAAAGTTTCCACACCATAATCATTAAAGTAAAGATAAAGTCACCATAATCTTACCAGACCATAGGGCTGATCTATTATTAGAGAGAAACAACCAGTGGTAGTTTAACCTGACGATCAAGACATGTTGGGCAGGAGAAGAGGTTGAGAAAGAGAGTCCTTCATGGTAACCTTGGCTGGTACAGGAATTAAACCCATTCTGCTGGCATCACTCTATATCACAAACAATTGTCCAGCCACAGATAACCAACCTCCTACTGTGATCATAGTGTGTCACATGCTTCATAAATTGACCATTAAGAGGATAGTCAAATGAAGCAGTAAGGGTTAGGTATCTCCTTAGTGAACAATGGCAATAAAAGAACTAGTCCCTTTGGTAGATACAGAAACAATTCATCTGACCTTAATAAAAAGCTCCTTCTAATGTCCCTGTGGGATTTTTGCATATGAGGTTCCTTACATCTTTCTTAAGCCCGTGACAACTATTACATTTTATTTTGCCAGCCAGCTTGTCTACTCCATTGAACATAATTTTTGTTTTATTGTGCAACTTTCTGTAGTCACACAAATCACTCTGTGGCCACGTCTGCAAATCCTGTGACAAAATATTTCCAAGAAATTGATTTACCTCTGATTCTGGTGTCTGTGTGTGTGTGTGTGTGTGTGTGTGTGTGTGTGTGTGTGTGTGTGTTTGTGTCTGTGTGTGTGTGTATGATTGTGTATGTGTATGTGCATGCTTGAGAGAGTGTGTGTGTGTGTGTGATTGTATCTGTGTATGTGCATGCTTGAGTGTGTATGTGTGTGTGTATGATTGTGTATGTGTGTGCATGCTTGAGTGTGCATGTGTGTGTACACGTGTTCAAACACCCAAGCCAGTGCCATTTGCTGGCTGAACAGCTGATTTTCTGAGTTTGTTGCACTTCCAAAGATGCAAGGCAGCCTGGCTCACACAGTTTCGGCACATATCAGAAAGGAATGGCATTGGAATTGTTTGGCTGAGTTGTCCTTCAGCGAGACAAACAACATCTTCACTTATCGTACTTACTCTATTGTAGCAATGACATTGCTGGAAGACCCCTCTCTCCATTTGACCCAGCAGATATCAGAGCAGAAGGTCACCTGGTAAACCAAAAACTACTTGGCAAGAGTCTAAGTTCCTTGAAATGCTGGTTTTATGGTCTCTACAATTAAAACATCATCGGCGGTGGCACTCGCTCTAAGTAACATATATTGTGGCCACTAGATTCAACTATTAGCTGCAGTTTAAATGCTTCCTAATGCAATTCTATTCTTCAAAGAAAACAATACAACAGACATCGTTAATGGATAACATTTTATTCCTATATTGTGTAAAAATGCTCCATCTTGAAATGAACAAAAACTACTTTGCGCAATTTATTAATTATTGTTAATAAAGAATATACAGATTAATAAATTACAACAACAACTCTGTGAAGATTACTATATACATTTCTTTACCTTCAGAAATTTTATGTCAGAGCTTTGTGTTGAAAACAAGCCAGAATTTTCATTTTATTCACTCACAGAATGTGAGTATCGCTGGATAGACCAGCATTTATTGCCCATTCCCAATTGCCCAGAGGATGGTTAAGAGTCAAGCACATTACTGTGGATCTGGAGTCACAAGTAGCCCGGTAAAGGTAAGGATGGCAGTTTCTATCCCTAAAGGGCAATAGTGAACCAGATGGGTTTTTCAGACAATTGACAACAGTTTCATGGCCATCATTAGACTGTTGATTCCCAATTTTTTAAGGAATTCAAATTCCACTATCTGCCGTAGTGGGATATGAACCTGCGTCCCCAGAATACTACCTGGGTCTCTGTTAATAATCTAACGGTAATGCTTTGAGGAATCTTTTACAAGGAAGCACAATTTGTTTAGTTGTAAATAAATATGACCAGCTCTGACTTAGTTACTGTCTGCGATGTTCATTTGTAATTTGACTCGGCGCACAATTATTTTCTTAATATGTTGCGGGTGAAATCCTCTTTGGAAATTCATGCCAAAGGATCAAGCATTCCATGTCGATTTCGGGTCAAAACGGTGTCTGAAGCATTTCTCTGTTGAAACGGCAAGGGTAACTATTAAGAGTAGCAAATACCTAGTACAATCCTAATCCAACTCAGGGCCTCTTCAACACTTTATTTTTCCTGAGTGCTAGGAGATATGCAGCAGTAAAATAAGACAGAACAGATATCTCCTGGTGCAGTGGGTAACATCTCTACCTCTGAGACAGAAGCTTGGTGTTCAAGTCCCACTCCTGGACTTGTGGACCATGGGAGATGTGTTTGTACCATGCTTGATTATCAACCTGTAAATCCATCCAACATGCCTTTGGCAGGGCGAAAGAACAGGAGAATCTACTGCTCAGCCAGAAAAGATGCAGTGCAACAGTCTCCCTATAGTAAAAGACTCCATGCACTGGTCCCCTCCATGGCAAGCAATCTCCTCATTTCAAGGGTCTAATAAAGAGGTAGTCAAAAACTAGGCTACATAAAGGTAATAATCACTGATAAACTTGAGAAGGAAGTCAAGAGAAACTTCCTTACTTAGAATTTGGAATTCGCTATCACCTGGAGTTGTTGACGTGTAAAGAGTGGATGAATTTGAGGAAATAATATAAATGTATGAGGGAGAAAGGTACAAAAGATGCTAAAGCATTTAAGTAAGTAAGGTTGGACGGGACTCATCTGCAGTATAAACATATGCATGGATCAGCTGAGGCAAACAGCAATGCCATGTAACCCATTCCAACCTAGTACTGTAGAATATCTTTTTGTCTTTGGTCACCGTTTCATCCTCCTCAAACCTCCCAGCGGGTATGAAATCTAAATTAAACATCATGTAGCCAGAATTTCCTAACTGATATCCTTACTTACTCTAGTAGTCTTCAACTTTGCCCACTAGCTGAGTTTCCCAAAAAAGCTCCTTTCTAAAAAAAAAGCTCCTTTTTAAAAACACATAATGGATGCCAAAGTTTACTGGAGATGGTCAGTATTGAGAGAACAATCTCACTCACCAAAGGAAAATCATGCAACACCATGGTAGAGGTTCTGGTAAAACCATGTTCATGTTCAGACAGCCTTGTCAACATCTCCTGTTTCTCCCGTCCCCATTTCCGTGAATTCTCCTCCAACTAGCAAATAAAAAGCAGAGAGAAATAAAGATCAGTTATTTCCCAGATGGCACAGCTTAACTGAAACTTTCCAGCGTGTACCTGGGTTGGCAACAATTTACATACTTCACAATGAACATTGAATGTTTTCAAGAAGGAGTTAGGAGTAGCTCCTAAGGCTAAAGGAATCAAAGGGTATGGGGAAAGAGTGGGAAGAGGCTATTGATCACATTGAATGTTTCAAAGGTCTAATCCTGCTCTTATTTTCTATGTTTCCGTCAGCAAAAGACTACTGTGTATTTGGATTCCATTATTTGGAATGTCATTGGACTAGTAAGACAATGTCCCAGGCTAATACTTTGGAACAAGAGTTGAATTGCAGGTAGTGAAAATTCAAAGAATTGCTGCCTTGGCCTGAGTTAGCTCCAGCACAGACTCCTAACGGAAGAGGAGAGAGTCAGACTACCTTTCTAAGTTGCCTATAGTCCAATGCCTCAAAGATTTTCCCTCATCTGTCACACACTGAGTGGTGAAACAGCAGCTGACAAAAACATACAGAGTGTGGAGAGATGCAACCTGAAAGCATCTTTCCAAATCTACATACCAGCGTCTCCAGCGTCTGTACGCGTCTCTGCGTCTTCTCCAATTTTGCTAAAAGACTTAGTTTCTCTGAGTCGGTAAGGGACTCCTGAAAGAAAGAGATAGAGCAGTGAAAAGATCAGCATAAAGAGAGGGCTTTATATATTCCCTCATGGGATCTGGGCATTAATGGCCAGGTCATCATTCATTGTCCTTCCCTCCACATTGCTGTGGGTCACGTAGACCAGGCCAGGCAAGAATGGCAGATTTCCTTCCCCAAAGAACATTAAAATACAGTCAGATTTCTAGCACCTGCAGTTCTTTGTTTTATTTTTGGGTTTATACATCAATTGACTTTGGGTACATTGATGTAATTAGTCCACATTTTAAATTCCAGAATTTGATTGAATTTCAATAGGACAGAGTAAATTAGGAGCGCTTCTATTCCAGTTAGTTAAAATGTTAAGAAATCAAATCGCATTTATTGGATAAAGGAATCATACCTTCAGTGAGTGCATGGGATGCTGAACAATGATGGGTGCAGGCTGTAGGCGTAACCTTTCAATCTCTTCCCTCAACCGGGCATTCTCTGCCAACAGAACAGACTCCACCTCTTTCCTTATGTTGTCTTCAGTGTTCACTGTACAAAAACAAGCAGGATTCACCATTACACACCATTAGACACTACCAATACACAGCATGAACCTGATCAATGTAACCACCCATTTGCACCAAAAATCAATTCACTTAAATTAATTACATTGCCAACATAAATCACAAAGCTTTGGGCTGTTGTGGTGCAGTGGTAGTGTCCGTACCTCTGGGCTAGAGCCTCCAGATTCAAGTCTCACCTGCCCTGAAGGTGTATCATAACATATTTTAACAGGTTGGTTAAAAGCTTTTTTTAAACATGACTAAGTTATCTTGTAGCATGGAGGTAATGTCTCTAGGCCAGAAGGTCCAGGTTCAAGTCCCATCTCAGGTTGTGATGGCCTTGGTATGTCTTTATGTTCTTAAATGAGTTATATCACATTTCAAATGCAAACATATTGTTCAGGAGTGGTTGGATATTTATTAAAACATCCTAAACTTAATGCTTCAAACAATTGGTACCAACAGGCTGTTTAGCGAGCTGGAGATCTCGGTGTTATGATCCCAGGGTAAGGGGTCTTCCATCTAGGATAGAGATGAGAACAAATTTTCTCATTCAGTAGATTGTGAAACTTTGGAATTCTTGACCCCAGAGAGCTCACGGCTGAAGTCGATCGAGTTTTGGACACTGAGCGAGTCAAAGAGGCTATGGTGTGAGAATAGAGTAGAGGTGAAAATCATTCATGATCTTGTTAAATGGCTGAATAGAGTCTGGGGGACGAATGACCTACTCCTGCTCCTATTTCTTAGTGTGTTTGCCACTTGAATTTACCTGCATGCTTTTTAGATGCTTCAGGCTTTGCTCTTGGTCTCTCTTTCAACTTTTTGTCCAAAAGAGTCTCCATTCTTTCGATAACCTGCATCAAAATGACAAGTGGTAGGTTAGTTAAATGCCATTCGTAAAGTGTGGATAGCATTTGGTTCCAAATCTAAACCATGCTGCACTGAACCCTGTGAGAGTGTGAAACTGACCGGATACCAGAATATATCTGGCAAGTCACTCAAATAATATGTCAATAAAATTTGATCAAGTGCCAAACAAGAATGTTCTCATGATGCATCTTAAAGCTTTGAGTAAGACTTACAATAACATACCCGGTTGCGCAACAAAACAAGTACTGAAAAAGAAAATGAGAATCATCACTGCATTTTTTGAGTCTTCAGGAAAATAAGGTCAAAACTAGTACCTACGTTAGAATAGTCAAATGTAATTCAGTAAGCGATGCTGCAGTATGATAAAGTGTAACAGAAATATTAGTGAATTCATTGACAGATTCTTCACCTGATGAGCTACAGGTTGCCAAGATGACTTGGTGACACACTCAGCAGGTTTCCTCACCTGCCACCAAAGTTTCTTCGTGATGGATTTTGACCTCCCAAGTCTATGTGCAGCCATGACTTCATTCAATGGCGCGCCACCCAACCTGTCTGGGGCTTCCCAACTGCAGCGCAGCATAGAGGCAACATTGCTTGCCATGTTTCTGATTTTAGTTCAAACAACGATTGCTAAAAGGACACCAGAAGCAGGAGGCTCTAACTACCAGGAAGTTCTTGTCCTTATAAAAAAGTAGGTCATAGGGTCATAGAAATATACAGCACGGAAATTGACCCTTCGGTCCAACTCGTCCATGCCGACCAGATATCCTAAATAAATCTAGTCCCATTTACCAGCATTTGGCCCATATCCCTCTAAAGCGTTCCTATTCATGTACTCATCCAGATGCCTTTTAAATGTTGTAATTGTACCAGCCTCCACCACTTCCTCTGACAGCTTATTCCATACACTCACTATCCTCTGCTTGAAAAATTTGCCCCATAGGGACCGTTTAAATCTTCCCCCTCTCAACTTAAACTTATGCCCTCTAGTTTTGGACTCCCCCACCATGAGGAAAAGACATTGTTTATTTACCCTATCCATGCCCCTCATGATTTTACAAACCTCTGTAAGTGTCACCCTCAGCCTCCAATGCTCCAGGGAAAATAGCCCCAGCCTGTTCAGCCTCTCCCTAAAGCTCAAACACTCCAAACCTGGCAACATCCTTGTAAATCTTTTCTGAACCCTTTCATGTTGCACAACATCCTTCCTATAGCAAGGAGACCGGAATTACATGCAGTAGACCAATAGTGGCCTAACCAATGTCCTGTACAGCTGCAGCATGACCTCCCAACTCCTGTACTCAGTACACTCACCACTAAAGGCAATTGTATCAAATGCTTTCTTCACTATCCTGTCTACCTGGGACTCCATTTTCAAGGAACTATGAACCTGCACTGCAAGGTCTCTTTGTTCAGCAAGACTCCCCAGAACCTTACCATTAAGTGTATAAGTCCTGCCCTAAATTGCCTTTCCAAAATGCAGCATCTACGTTTATCTAAATTAAACAACATCTGCCACTCCTTGGCCCATTGCACCATCTGCTTAAGATCCCGTTAAGGGGTTATCTTGAGGTCTAGAGATCTTTAACATTACAAAGGAATTTAGAATCATAACATCATAGAGTCATGCAGCATGGAAACAGGCCCTTTGGCCAACTCGTCCATGCCAAACAAGTTTACCAAACTAAAAACTCGTCCCATTTGCCTACGTTTGATCCATATCCCTCTAAACCTTTCCTGTCCAAATGTCTTTTAAATGTTGTACATGTACCTGCATCTACCACTTCCTCTGGCAAGAAAAAGTCCCAGCCTATCCAACCACTCCTTATGACTCAAACCCTCCAGTCCCAGCAACATCCTTGAAAATCATGCCTGCACCATCTCCAATTTAACAACATCTTTCCTATAGCAGGATGACCAGAATTTTACACAGTATTCCAAACATGGCCTCACCAATGTCATGTAAAGTTGCAATGTGACATCCTGGACTGAATGTTCTGACTGGTGAAGCCAAGTATACCAAATACACTCTTTGCCACCCTGTCTACCTGTGACACCACTTTCAAGGAACTTTGTACCTGAACTCCTAGGTCTCTCTGTTCAACAACACTCCCCAGGACTCTACATTAACTGTGTAAGTCCTGCCCTGGTTTGTCTTACCAAAATGCAACACCTCTCATTTATCTAAAGTAAACTCCATCTGCCGCTCCTCAGCCCATTGGCCCAGCTGATCAAGATCCGATTGTACTCTTATATAACCTTCTCCACTGTCCACTATAGCACTAATTTTGGTGACATCAGTATACTTACTAATCATGCTTCCTAAATTTTCATCCAAATCATTTATATAAATAACAAACAACAGTGGACCCAACACCAACCCCTGCAGAAACACCGCTGGTCACAGGTCTCCAGTCTGAAAAACAACCGTCTACCACCACCCAGAGATAGTAAGAACTGCCGATCCTGGAGTCAGAGATAACACAGTGTGGAGCTGGAGGAACACAGCAGGCCAGGCAGCGTTAGAGGAGCAGGAAAGCTGATGTTTCAGGTCGGGGCCCTTCTTCAGAAATTTCTTTCCTGCTTCTCTGATGCTGCCTGGCCTGCTGTATTCCTCCAGCTCCACACTGTGTTACCTCTACCACCACCCTCTGTCTCCTACTGTCAAGCCAATTTTTTATCCAATTGGCTAACCCTCCCTGGATCCCATGCAATCTAACTTTAGTAACCAGTCTACGATGCGGAACATTGTCAAAGGCCTTGCTAACATGCATGTATACAAGGTCTGCCACTCTGCCCTCAATAATCCTCTTGGTTATCTCTGCAAAAAAACTCCTTAGAGTTTGTGAGACATGATTTCCCATGCGCAAAGAACATAAACATAAGAACTAGGAGCAGGAGTAGGCCGTCCGGCCCTTCAAGCCTGCTCCGCCATTCAATAAGATCATGGCTGATCTTTTCGTGGACTCAGATCCACTTACCCGCGTTCTCACCGTATCCCTTAATTCCTTTATTGTTCAAAAAAAATCTACCTTATCTTTAAAAACGTTTACTGAAGTAGCGTCAACTATTTCACTGGGCAAGGAATTCCCATAGATTAACAACCCTCTGGGTGAAGAAGTTCCTTCTCAATTCAGTCCTAAATCTGCTCCCTCTAATCTTGAGGCTATGCCCTCTTGTCCTAGCTTCACCTGCCAGTGGAAACATCCTCTCTACTTCTATCTTATCTATTCCCTTCATAATTTTACATGTTTCTATAAGATCCCCCCTCAATCTTCTGAATTCCAATGAATATAATCACAATCTACTCAGTCTCTCCTCATAAGCCAACCCCCTCAACTCCGGAATCAACATAGTGAACCTCCTTTGCACTCCCTCCAGTGCCAGTACATCCTTTCTCAAGTAAGGAGACCAAAACTGCACACAGTACTCCAGGTGTGGCCTCACCAGCACCTTGTACAGCTGCAACATAACCTCTCTGCTTTTAATCTCAATCCCTTTAGCAATGAAGGACAAAATTCCATTTGCCTTCCTAATTACTTGTTGTACCTGCAGACCTACCTTCTGTGATTCATGCACAAGGACACCCAGGTCCCTCTGCATAGCAGCATGCTGCAACTTTTTACCATTCAAGTAATAATCCTTTTTACTATTACTCCTACCAAAATGTATGACTTCACATTTATTTACATTGTATTCCATCTGCCAGACCTTTGCCCACTCACTCAATGTATCTATGTTCCTCTGCAAAGTTTCACAGTCCTCTGCACACTTTGCTCTGCCACTCATCTTAGTGTCATCTGCAAACTTTGACACCCTACAC